ACCTCCTCCGCCGCGTTTATTAGGGAATACGCCGGGCAATTATTATCTTTCCCCCTTTATTTCCCTTGGCTTGCGGCGCCGTGCGGAGTTCCCGTCCCCCGATAAGCCGCAGCAGTGTTTACCACCCTGGCCCTAGCCGGCTGCATCGTTTTTGACCGAATAGAGGTGAAGTTGCTACGTGTGACGACATCTTGTTCGCTTTCAGGATAATTCTGTTCTCTTTTGAAGCGCTCCCTTCCTCCCCTTCTCGCTGCTATAAAAACTTGCTTGGTTTTGTTTTATTTTCCTTAGAAATTACCCGCCCTTGTTCTGAAGCGAGCGAGTTTTGTGCTGTTCCTCGTGGTTTATTTCACTGTAAAGTCACCTTAAGGATCTCGTGTGGAGGGGGGAGGGTACACGCTCCCCACTTTGTCAGCCGACAGGTGCTAACGTGCTAAATAAACCACCTAAGAGTGGTATAAATTACTCTGGAGCTGTTGCCAGGAGACATACACTACTCGCATACACAAGATAAAGTCCCGGGGTTTATAGTATCTGGATGATTCACTTCTGAAGGACAGTTGAAGGAAATAAAAGCAAATGGCCCACGTGGCGTCTGTGGGCAAAAACATGTTTTCTGCTGGGCAGCCTGGTACCTGGTGCGGATTTGTGTAGGTTAAACAAGTTGGCTGTCACACCGGGTTGCAGCAGCAAAAAAAACCCAAACGGTGCTGCAGCAAACTTTGGTCTAATTTAGAAGAGAAAAATACACATTAATATGGATTTTGTCGTAGCTGCTTATTTTAGGGAATTATGTTTAAAGAAGATGGTTCTTCTCGACGTTAAGATACGGATTAAGTTGAGCGTATGCTGGCTGGCTCATGGGCAGTTGTAAGATGTGTGGAGATGTTTATTTTGTTAAGCCCAGTAAATACCTTTTTGTACCTTTTTCAGGTTCACTACTGCTAGAATCGAAGATAAACCCAAATACTGCATATCAAAAACAGCAGGTAAGTATTACTGCTAAGCTTTATTTTTCTTCTGATTACCAATGCTGAGGAATTGGTTTATGCTCAAACTAATTCTGTTTTTTCAGGAAAAAAAAAAAAGGCAAAGCAGCATGACATGGAATTGTCAGTGGGGTTTTTCATAGAGGTGAAAAAGTTGCTTAGAAGGCTGTAGGTGCTATAATCCTTCACATTTTGGAAATTCAGATGTGGGTGCCTTTAAAAAACACTTTTGGATTTCAGGCCTTGAAGAGAATATATGCGATTTGGATAAATATTGAACTCCTTACAGGAAAAATAGTTAGAAACACATATGTGTAACTCTTGTCCCCTGTCCCAGGCCGTATGAAATAAATGCCGAACTGGGAAGGGAAAAACTTGGCCAACTCTGTGACAGCATATTTACTTCTCGAGTTCTGGAAATAACATGAAGGAATTTGTCTTTGTGGAATTTCTTTCATTGTCGGTGTTTAGTTTTTGGTTTAAGCCCTGAAAAACTCTTCTACCCTAAGTAAAGCAATTAGCCATGGTGAGACTTACTTGCACAGTTGTGTTTCCTGGGGGCAAGCCTTCTGCAAACCCAAGAAGTAAAAGAGTTGGGAGCTGTGTTAATAGGTCATTTTTGTTTAATCCACTAAAACCATTACCTTATTAAATCTCTTGCTTTTATTGCTTTTTCCGCATTAATTTTTGGTGTCTGCCTAAGTTGTTCTGCTGGTTATAACTGTTTTGTTTCTGCCTGTCCTTTGTTCTACAGTGGATTCTCTGTTCCTTTTGTTCAGTGTTTTATACAGCTCTTCATCATTGTGGTCTCCAGAAGTGTTCCGGCACTAGAAAACAGTAATTTTGTTCTTCCTGGATCATGAAGAGATGAATCTTTAGGGATTTTGTTTGGTTTGATTTTTTTTTCCCACCTTCCCTGCGGAAAGGTGACAAGTTATGTTATTAGAATTTGAGGAAAGAGGCTTTTTGGCTCTTGAGCATGGGTTGGCTTAGGAGCGAGTCGGAGTCAGTCTTAGAGTCAGAGGATGGTCCATCCGCAGGGTTCTGAAAGTCAAGAGCCTTGAACTGCTTCCCATTTAGTAGAGGGAACTAATACATAATGAAATACAAATGCAGATTATGTTGCCGGAAAGTTCTAAATTGCTTCCTTTTGCAGCCTGTTTTCTGAAACTTCATACAATGGATGTAGTGATAGGAAAAGGGGTAACAGGTTTAAATTGAAAACAGGGAGGTTTAGATTAGATATCAGGAAGAAATTCTTCCCAGAGAGGGTGGTGAGGCACTGGAACAGGTTGCCCAGAGAAGCTGTGGATGCCCCATCCCCGGATGTCTTCAAGGCCAGGCTGGATGAGGCTTTGAGCAACCTGGTCTAGTGGAAGGGGTCCCCGCCCATGGCAGGGGGGGTGGGACTGGATGATCTTTAAGGTCCCTTCCAACCCAAACTATTCTATGATTCTATGGTTTTATTTGAAAGCTGCCTTTACTTAATTGGTAGCAAAGTTTCTAGTGACTTAAGTAGCTTTTCTTCTCATTTTTCTTGTGGAAGTCTTTGTAGGTTGCAGTCTCTGGCTGAGGTTTGTTTTGGTTGGCTTTTATTACTGATTCTAATGTTTTTGTGTCCTCATGATTAAAAGTGTTTGCTTCACTGCAGTCTTTTAAGCGGTTTAGTGTTGGGTTTTTTTGAGCAGGAATAATGACTGATGTTTTCTGGAGACAGGTTCTAGGTTTGTCTAACCTCTGAAATCAAACAACTTTTAGTTGACACAGCTTTGTCCTCAAGTTTTACGTGCTTCTTTCTGAGTGGGGCAGCAAATAGCAGGCCTTAAAGTAGCTTTTCTCAGTTTGAGATTTTGGTCTCATTGCTAAAAGATCATACTATTCAAACCTGAGTGTCTCAGGAGCAGATCCTTTTTAAAAATGATGGAATGATTTAGGCAAAACATTGTAGTTTAAGGAAAGGAAGCGTGATACCTGTAAACAGGGCGGGCCTGTTACCTGCCTTCTCGAACTGTGTTTGTGGTCACTGGCTTTCATGCAGAACTCTGTCAAGGTGCGCTGTAATTGTGACCTCTTTCTCAAGAGAAGTGGGACTTGGATTGGACATAAGTGCCAGGCTGCTCAGCACACAGCATGAAAGAATCTCCAGTTGCCTGAATGCAAAGAACATGAGAGCCTGAAGTGCTTTAGATTCCCCCTGGATTTTGGGGCAGAGGCTTTGAGAGTTCCACTGGACACCCCGTATAGGCCAAAGGGCAGATGCAGAGGCGTTCTGGAGGCTGGAGCAGAAGCAGCCTAAAAAGTTGTTACCACACCCATTTGTTGTTCCACTCTCTGCTTGAGGTTACTGTCCTCTGGCAAAACTGGCAGATTTTCAGTGAGAAATGGGACAGATCGGTCCGTGTGCTTTGTTCCTCCACCTCCTTCAGCCATAATTTTCAGTTGCATGGCTGTAAGACTTGAAAGTGCTCCAGAGTTCCTTACTGTGAACTTTGCCTTCTGATGTTACTTCTCCTTTAGGTGTGCTGTCTCCGTGTTCAGGTCTGAGCTGAAGAATGGGTGCAAATGCTGACTTTTGCACAGAGTTGCCATCGCTCATGTGACAACAAGGGTGATTTGCTTCAGGCAAAGCCAGAATTACGTGAGGCGGCGATTTAACACCTCTTCAGGGGTGCTGTGAAAGCCAGCCTGATCGGTTGCCAGAGGGCTGCTTCACTCCTCTTTCACACCAGCCTGAGTATTCATGTTGCTGTGTGGCAGGTTATATGTAGGAACTGATTCAGTTGAAATTCCTCTGTTTGCCAGATTAATCTTTGCCGGCATGTGTTCCCCCATCTGGCTCACTGTACAGCGTGCTTGTGCTGGTGAGAGGGCAGTGAGGGGCCAGTGCAGCACAAGGTGGAGTAGAAGACGTTTTTCAAACCAGGGGTTTGAACTACTTAACCTCTTGTTTGAGTGAGTTAAGGAACATTTCTTGTTGACTGAGCAGCATCGCTAGTGCTAAGCTAAGCAGGTGGGGCTGGTAGTGTCACAGCGGCCAGGCCTGGAAGATGTCTGTCTCTGGTCTTTGTGGGTTGTCTTAGGTCATGTGGGAAGCATACACAGATGAGTTATATTGGTGTTGGACAGTTATTTTCCAACAAAGCTATCTTTTAGTCGTCTGGAAGTGTTTTTGGAGACACTTACATAACTTGTGCTTGGCGTGGGCAGTACAGATTGTAACGAGTACCATTCAGCAACTGGAGAGTTCTCACAAAATTCTTGTGTGCAGCCTCTATGGGTGTATGCAGCCATTTGAGTTACTGCGCTATGTCTCCTACTGCAATGGTTCTGGGCTGTGCATAGGACTCTCATATATGTGTCTGTCCATTGAGGCACCTCACCTGGAGGTGTACTGATTTTGAGTGTTGTGGCATCAGGCATTTCACAGAACCTTTCCAGATACACCTTGCAGAGTTTGAGTTCTGTAACAGCCATGAAACTGTACATAACAACTCCATTGTCTTTGATTAACCTCTGAAGGGGAACCAGATCAGGGAGCTGATCAGGCTTTCAGGTTCCCACAGTTGGCAATTATTGTTTTTCCCTTGAAGCCCTGTTCAACTGCTCACTCTGAAATGGCACACTGTAAACACAAGGATCCTGCTGTCCGTCAGCCGGAGATGAGGGTGGACAGCTGTAGGCAAAATCCCGCTCGGCTATATGAAGCTGTACCATTTGTGCACGTGAATCGGAGCCCGAAAGCGGGGAGACTACCTATTAATACTTGTGACTGTACGACAGAAGTGTAATACAGGGCACTTACAGTATTAATAAACAGCTCTCATGAACAGCATTAAAACCATAGTGTGATGAGCTCGATTCTTTCCAGAACAGGAAAACTTCATTTCTTTAAAGGAATATGTAAAAATGAGGAATAAAAAATAATAATTGATCTTGTGCAGATGCTGTTGTTCTTAGCGCGGCCTGCGATTACTTTCTGGGAGAAGGAAGTTGATCTGTTGGTAGGCGTTTGTCAACAGTGTTGCTGTAAGAAAAAAGATGTTACGCTAACCTTTTTTTGTTAAAGAAAAAGAGAAAGCCCTCAAACCATGCAACCACATGTGGATATTGAGAGATGAAGATTCTGTAGAAATGAACTGGGGAAGTAATGCCGTATCAGCGATGCTGAATTTTATCCCTGTTCCAGAGTGATAACTAGCAGCTGGTAGGTTGAGTTTGTTGAGACAGGTGTGTGTTTTTCAGATAGCTGTGCTGGTGGAAGAGTTTACCCACTGTCCCATGCCAGCTGCTTCTCTGTATTCCCGTCCCAAACGTTAGTCCCCTCATATCCGCCAGTGGAAATACTTGTGAGTGCCCTCTGACCTCGTTAAGCCCAGATAACTGCATTCACAACCGGTTTAAACCATCTAAACTAACCTGATTTTGATCCAAAAGGATCACAGCATGGTGATTCCCACAGTAGGTTCAAGAGTAGCAACGATCGTTTGGCATTAAGTTTTTGTCCCTCTGCCTTTGGCGGATACATGAAGGCTGGTGACCAAATAGAAGGCTGGTGACCAAATAGACATACCATGTCATGCAGTGGCCTTGTAGCCCGGTGAACGCCTTATAGATAATAAACCATCAGCTTCATCGTTTCCTGTCATTCGGTGCACAGAGGGACCAAAGAAGTGCTTTTGGGGTACAGATGTGAAGCAGCGATGACAGAGTTTGTTTCTTGTTGCCCCTGAAGTTTCCTGGAGGATATTGGGTATCTGGAAGCCAGTCAGATACTTGTTTGCGTTTGGTTGCTGCGCCTAAAGGTATCACTTGGAGTGTTTGTTTACAGTAAAAATGATGCATAAGGTAAAGACTTTAAAGTCTTGATAAGTTGTGCGGTGAATATTGAGCTTTGTAAAGGTGGGAAGTACATTACCTGATTGACCATTAAGCAAGGGCTTGCCGGTGTGTAAACCAAAAAAAGGTGTGGTAACAGTCCAGGAGGTCAACAGCCTTGGCAGGACGTTGACCCGTTTTGCTGGAGCTCATCATCCGTGCTGCAGAGTTCGCAGAGCGCCGTTCCGCTTGGAAGTTGAACACGGAGGTGAGCTTCCCGCAGGATGCTGAGCTACGCATTTGAGTGTGGAAGCACAGGCTTCTGTTCCCCGCAGCACGTCCTGGTAAAACCTCCTACATTTAGTCTGTTCAGAAATTCCAGTGGATCCTCCAAATTCACTGTGCAAGCGCACAGATGGAATTGGTAAAAGCACCAGTAGCAGAGGAAAAAAAACCAACTTGCTTAAAATACCAGTTGGCGAGATGCTTGGAACTTCTAAAGCCTTAATAATATGAAACTCATGTCTTTTAATTCAGACAAAGTATTGTGTTTTGGTTTGTTAGTGAGGCATTATTTCACACGTTGGGGATGGCTGAATGAAACGCTTTCTGGGGAGGAAACCCTGTAATCTTGTATTTTTGTTTATACTTTCTTAAATTGGAAAAGACTTAAGTTGTTAAATTGCAGATTTTCTTACTCTACATTGTGTGCATTCCCTTTTCAATGCTGTTGGCTCAGAAGTATGTTGCAGAAGAATGCCATTGATGTGCTTTGGATATGAAAAAGTGTATTTAAATGTATAACATGCAAGGTAACGGTCATTAAATAGCAATAAAGACAGAGTATCTCTCTTATGCCTGAAAGGTAATTTAATATTGTAGTGGCTTATGTTCTTTTTTGACAAGTGTAACAATAATTTATTCTTCTTTAGTCATGTGACTTAGCAGAATACAGACTGTCATGTGGCATGAACCTGTTTCAGAACCAATTTTTTTTTTTTTTTGTCTTAAACAGGACACCCTGATTGTTTGGTCAGAAGCAGAAAACTATGATTTAGCACTGAGTTTTCAAGAAAAAGCTGGCTGTGATGAAATCTGGGAGAAAATCTGCCAGGTACAGTTAACACTAAATACTCTGTTTCTTCCAGATGTTTTAGTGTCTTCTGCAACTTGGTGTATTTGTGCTGTCATTTTTTAACCTACTCGTAAAATAAGCATGCACTTGTCATGGTTTTCTGTGCATTATCTGAAGTTGCTGCTACTTGTGGCTTTCCTAATGGAATTTCATGCTTTTGAAAAATCAAAGTAACAACGCAACTCAGGTGCTGGGCATTTTAGGGTTGGTTTTGGGTGAGTGGGTGGGGTTTTTATTGAGATGCTGAAGTACCACGTTTTAATTGTCTTGCCCAGCGGCCTGGGGAAACTGACTCGTTGGAGTGCGGTGGGATTGAAAATGTGTTGTCATGCATAGGGTGTAGATACTTCAGTGTGAGAGAGAGGGGCGGCATTGGTGCGTCAGCTCAGAAATGTCAGTGATGCTCTTTTATCGACACCCAAGTCTTACTGACTGACTGTGTTTACAGATACTTCAGTGTTCATTGTTTTATCACGAAACAGTTCAGATTTTGTACTTTCAACTCTGGAAATGACAAGTCAATGGAGTCTCACCTCTTTGTGTTTAAAAGAAGAACCCGGGTGCTTCCATGTTGGAATTTACCATAACCTTCTCAGATTTTGACATGATGCAATGTAAAGCGTTAACGAAAGAAATACAGGACTCGCATTCCCTAGCAGTTTCCTTTCAGCAAGCTCAGCAGTTTAGATGCATTCTGAATCTTGCCATTGGTTGGGGTGTAATGTCTCCTCGGCCAGTTCTGAAGCAGCGGTGTAGAAGGGAGTCGACCCTAGTAACCGCCAGTGTGTACATCACAATGGTAGTCAAGGGCTTCAGCTGGGGCTGAGCTGGTGTCCAGTCTGAGAGGGAGGTGTTGGTGTGGTCAGACGGGGCAAACCGTCATCTCATCAGGTTCCAGAGTTCTTCCTGCTCTGTCCTCTGAGTCTCCTGGGAGATGGAAGCTGGATCAGAGGGACAAAGAGTGTGACCGGTGAATGGAGTTAGAGGAGCAGACAAATCAGATGAAAGCTCAGGGTGGAAGAAAATATCTGTCTTCGTTTTTTCTTCAAATTGGGTATTAGTGACATTTTCCTGCCTTTCTCCTTGTTACGTTTCACTTAATGTTGCCATAGCTGGGGACTCTTAGTACAAGTTGAAGGCTTCTCGCCCTTCTGTTTGAGACACTGAAAGGAGGTTTTCTTACGCCCTTCTTTCCTTTTTATATTTTGTGCCTGTCTCCAAGGTGCTTTAGGCTTCTTGACTGCACAGATGCTGTTAGGGTTGGGTTGGGTTTGATGTGATTTTTTGACAGACGTAGTATTGAGGATCTTGGTATTGACTGTAGAATTTAGAGGCAGCAAACACTTCCTCCTCTGCACGGCTAGACATTCTCCTAGGCAACTGAGGATAGGAAAGTGTTGACGCACGTGTTGTTTCAGTTATTGACTTGATAATTTTTGCGTCTGTTTTGGGACGAGACCCTGATTGTGCGTACTCTCCCCTCAGGTTCAGGGTAAGGATCCTTCAGTAGAAGTCACGCAGGACCTTATTGAGTCAGAAGAGGAACACATAGAAGAAATGCCTGAAACTAGTCCTTTGATCGACCTTCCTACTTGTGAACTCAACAAACTTGAAGAGATTGCTGACCTAGTTACCTCTGTTCTCTCCTCGCCCATCCGCAGAGAAAAGCTAGCACTGGCCTTGGAGAATGAAGGCTACATCAAAAAACTGCTACAGCTTTTCCAAGTCTGCGAGAATTTAGAGAACACCGAAGGCTTACATCATTTGTATGAAATTATTAGAGGGATTTTGTTCCTCAACAAAGCAACTCTGTTCGAGGTGATGTTTTCCGATGAGTGTATTATGGATGTTGTTGGATGCCTTGAATATGATCCTTCTTTGGCTCAGCCAAAACGGCACAGGGAGTTCTTGACCAAAACAGCAAAATTTAAGGAGGTTATTCCTATAACAGACTCTGAACTCAGGCAAAAAATCCACCAGACTTACAGGGTACAGTATATTCAGGACATCATCTTGCCAACACCGTCTGTTTTTGAAGAGAATTTTCTTTCTACCCTCACTTCCTTTATTTTCTTCAACAAAGTTGAGATTGTCAGTATGTTGCAGGTAAGTGCTTTTTGTATCTATAGTAGAGATGGATTATGCGTAGCTGTAGTTTTGAAATCGATTGCAGCTCTGTAAAGTGCCTAGGATTAACTTACAACATCTTCAGTTGCGTGTTGTTTTGAGTACTTCCCTTTATTCCTGATACCTTTTTTAATTTATTTTAAAACTGGTAGATTTCAGGTGTGTATATTAATATCTTGTAATGGGTTGTAAATAGTTAAAGGTTCTTGATTCACCATCAACTTCCACGTTTTGAGCTGGTATTGTATAGATATTTGGGGAACAAGCAACTTTCTGTATTATATATCAGGGACATTTGTGACATCTTTATAACAAATTCTGAATCTGTGGCTCAGCAGAGGATGTGCAGAACCATTCCTGTTCTTCTACTGTTACTTTATGGTACTAATTTCAAATGTTCCTGTTGTGGTCTAAGTGATTCTTT